CATAAAACTAGTAAAGATTTAGCATTTGTTTGAACCATGCCACTGTGTCAAATTTGCTTGCAAATAACAGGTTAGGATATTAAAAGTGGGAGCAGAGAAGCTTTACTTCTTGGGAAAGCCAGGCTAAAGAAAGGTGAACCCCTATGAAAAAAATAAAGTAGGTGATTTCCCTGCCTGTGTATCTCTCTGGCAAGACAGGCAGGAGTTGCCTTGCTGCAAGCAGCACAGGTTGCACAGTGCAGGACAAGGTGCATCACCCTGGTCACCGCCTGGCTGCCACCCCACGAGCCTTGTGTAAGCAGCTTTGAGACCCGCACCATTCACCTCCTTGAGAGCGCTGCCGTACCGCCGCCAGACACACATCACTGCCCAGCAAGCTCCGTCTTGCTCCAGAGCACCTGCTCGTGTCCTCGGCTGCCAGCCTGACACAACACCTTGTTCCTCACTGGTGGCACCTTGCCCCACCACGCTGCCAGCCTGGCTTTGGTGGGGTTTCCACCAGGTTGAGTTTCCCAACACATCCTCTCTGCCCCCTTCCACCCTCTGCTCTAGACGACACTCCCGTTGTTGCAGCACAGGCACCCATGAGCACCTCGTAGTTGCTTCCTCTCCATCTGCCCTCCATGCTCCTTGGTGGCCAGAGCTTTTTTTCAGGACAGCAGAAAACGGCTTTCCACCCCAAACAGAGAAGACACTAAACCTGAGGCTTGAAGCCATCACCCAAAATCACAGCTTCCTCCTAAAACAAGCCAGCAAAAGGGACTGACATTCTCCCACTGGGCAGCAAGGAAGCTAACGGGCAAAGGCACCAAAATTGTCCCCACCACCAAGGGGAGCAGCTGAAATGAGCGCAGCCCGTGACTCACTTCCACCACGGCCACAGGAGGTGACTCAGGTGTCCACCAAACCCTCAACCTTCAAGTGGAGCGAGCCAGCAGAGACCACAACTGAGCCAACCGCCCTGTCCTGCCCCAGCCCATCTCCTCTGCCAACGGCCCCGGGAGAAGGCAACGAGCTCGTTGGGCACACGGGTGACAGGAGAGAACTTCTGCTGCCTCCATCCCCAGCCGGGGTCCTCCCCCATGGCAGGTGTGACATCTCTGAGCTCAGGATGATACAGCAGGAGAAGAAAAGCAAAGGGGAGTGCTCACAACCAGGCTGCTACACCTGCCCAGCCTTTGAGCACAACCACAAAAAGCTGGTTCATGCTCAGAACTTTGCCCAGAAGCTGATTTTCCAAAGCTAAACCCCGTGGCTGGCTCAAGGAGCGCGTCTGAGCAAGGTCTGGGCGTGGGCAGCAGATCCGATGGGAGGGATGGTGACCCAGCTGCCCACACCAAGCCCATATGGGTCTGTCCGTGCCTGCACGCGCTGGGCTCGGGCACCCTCAGCAAACACGCACACGTGTGACCACGCGTGCACACGCGCAGCGTCCTCTGGCGGTGCACGGCGCGGGAAGGCAGGAGGAGATTTTCTGCTGGAGCTTGGAGAAGTTGAAAGGCAAAGAACGTGCAGGGAGTGTCAAAACTCATTTTCTGATGACAGATAAAAAGCAGGACTTGGAGTCTTCTGGGCTGGAGGCAACGAGTAGTAGCTGCATGATTAAGTCTGTTTTGATCATCCGTCAGGTAACAGCATTCCCAAACGTCTGGGTTGAAGGACTGCCACACAGCATGCTGCCTCACCGGGGTCCTCCTCCTTCCAGCGAAAAGCAGGTGCCTTTGGAGGGAGGTGAAATAATTCTTCATAGCAATAAATGTGGGATAATCTCATCTCGCCTTCCCCCCTGCCCTATTTCCACGTTAGGTTTATTCTTAGTCTTTGAATTGCTAAAGATTTCCTAAAAATGCGATACAGAATTTCACGCGGTCTCTATGCGCTGGCTAGCTCCATATCATCATTTTCTTTCCTTTTCCAGACCTAGAGCTGTCGAAGTAAATTTGTGAGTTCCTTTGCACTTTCAGAAAAATAATTTACTCAATGATAGCTTCTATGTTTTGAATTACAACACCCGAGCACACAAAGCACTGAAAAATCCTGCCTTCACAGGGAGGATCAGTCAGAGAGAAGAACAAGACAACCCGAGATACCTGCGCCCTTTTTGTGAGTTCTGGGGTTCAAACGCAAAGGAAGGGTTTAATTAACTTCTCCGTAAGTATAGTTAACATATGTATTAAAACAGTCTCAAAACATGAAAAGTATCCTCAAAAGCCTTGTTTCAGCCAAGAGATTAATTCCTAATTTTAATTCTGGGATTATTCAAATGCAGAAAGAGTCTTTTAGATATTAAAGGCATTGCTAGCTGGCTTTCTGTGCATTACCACAGGGAGTCTTAGAATCCAATTATCTCTTAAGAAATATGTTAAATATGCTCATTAACATGTAAAAAAGTGGAAACACGTATTAGAGAAAAGCTGGTGTACTACACTTCTTAATGTCACAGTGAATTAGCAATAAAGAAGGTTGCAACAGAAATAACTTGCTGAAATGCCCAGGCAGCATAGGAAAATAAAGCATTTTACTCCAATTAGCTTAATTCCTGATAATGACATAGATGTAATGATAAAGCTCTCTGTATAATGGGCTCCAGCCCTGGGAAAGTTTAAGAATCCTGTTCTGTCTGTGGAACAAGGTAAGAAAAGGGATGCAAGCCTGAACCTCGGCGTAAATTGCCCTCAGCTCTCAGCAGGCAAAAGAAAGAAGGGAACAACAGGTAGAAAAGGCAGAGAAAGGGTGTTAGGAAGGCAATAACCACAGATAAAACCTCCGAGTCCCATTTTACCCTCCCAAAGCAAGCCCCATCCATCCCAGCACCGAAGCCTGCCAGCTCTCCAAAACCCGTATTTAAATGCTTTCCCACACTAAACCTTCAGCGTACACTTTCCCTCCTTCATCAGCGCTAACCTACACTTCTGCTCTTCCCTGCTGAGCAGGAACAATCAGAGTCATGCAGGAATAAACAGTAATTTCCTGCTTTATTTTTGTTGAGAAACCTGACCGCTCTGACGTAACTCGGAGCCCCAGACCCCAAACACCCCCAAGTCCTAACGCCCGACACCAGCCCAACACCAGTCCCGGCCATTACCACCTGACACGTGCTCACCGCACACCCCCGGCTGCTGGCAATGCTTTTTCTGTGCCCCTGCATCTGCTTCTTCCCTTCCTCCCAGGGGCTCAGCAATTTTTCCAGGTCCACAATGTCTTCAACCAGGAGAGAGGAAAATAACCCCGGGATATCTGATGAGGCACCTGTACCCTAGTTATATCTTCAAAGAACAGAATTTTACGTGAGGTTGGTTTGCTTAAAGTTTTACACATTAAAATACATCAGAAATTAAAAAAGAAAAAATTAAAGCCTGGCCTAAGCTCTAGACCTTCAGCAATCTCCATAGTGGTAACACCAGCTGCTAAGTTATTTAGAAGCTCTTGCATAACCATACGCATTTAGATTTTCCACATTTCTCTTTTTTTTCTGCACATCTGACACAAACCTTGCTCCAAACAACCATGCCAAAATCGTGGTGCTGCCGCCAGCCAGGTGTCACCTCCAGCTTCACCCTTTTTTTCCGCCTTACTCAGAGTGCCTAGGAAGCAACTTTCCTATCACACTGCATTTGGAGCAGCTGGGAGGCGATAAAACATAGGGAGATATAAAATTTATTTTCCTGAGCAACCAGCAATAACTGTATTTAGGTCTGTGGGGCTCCCAGTTAATCCCAGTATGTTGTGGCCTCATCAACAGGACACAGGGTTGCAGCAGGGACTGGTGCCAGCCACATCGTGAGAAGTTTAAGTTCCTTCCCTGCTGTGTGCCTCAGTTTCCCCTTCTGGTAAATGGGTGACTACAGCCCAGGGACACGCTGTCACCCTTCTGTCCTACTCCAAGTGCCACTTGGTGGCACTGTTCGAGAAGATTTCTTTGCGCGATGCCCTGCCTCCCTGTTGGGATCCAGAAGAGGGAGTTTCTGGAAGGAATCACATTCATCTTGGCATCACAATATCCTCATTTTTCTTCCTTTGTTTTCTTCTTTATTCACCGCTCAAGCGCTCCCGGGCGGTCTCCTCCCCTGCGTGTCAGTCACTGGGGATCTTCTGCTCACAAAACACGTTTGCAAAACACAAGAATCCCGGGCGTTGCTCGGGTATCACCTAAATTAAATCCTTCAGTGGTAAAAATAGCCTTTTCTGTTAAATTCCTCTGAAATGTGTCTGCAGGTGGGGCAAGCTTAGGAAGGATCATGCATTAACCCCAGAAAAAAAGCATCAGGGTAGAAGTTAATGAGAAAGAGACAAACGAAGGCAGGGGCATGACAATATAATTGGGGCAGAGATGTCTCGGGTCACCCTGCTGAAGGAGTGTCCCCTCCAGACCATGCGGGCTGTGATCCTGGACTGTATATAACACCACTGAGAGCTGATCTGCTCCAGATCGTGCTCCTGAAGCTCAGCACTCCTGCTTGGCACCCAGGTAAGCCTGGACAGACTTTTCTCAATGTCTGACTTTTCTGCGGGCAGCAAAGCAGGAGCTTCTGGCCATGAGGATGTCCCTGGAGCTGCCACCGCTGAGCTCTCCTAGAGGAAAAAAAAAAAAATAATGAGAAATCAGGAATGACACCATTCGGTGGTTCATTAGAGGTGACCTGCACTTGCAGCTCTTCTCTACTCAAGAGAAAGCCAAATGGGACTTTTCTCTCCTCTCTTACTATATGCTCCCAGGCTTTGGGCTCTCACTGTTCATCTCTCCAGCCATCACCTGCTCATCCTCACACCCAGCCACCGCTGCAGCCGAGTTTCATTTTTCAGATTTATTTTCCTGCAAGACCCTTCTTGCTCTCTCTTACCCTTCCCTTCTGCTGTTTCATTTTATCTCTTCCCTTCTCTCTCTGCCTGTCCAGCTGTGTTGTTTAAAGAGTAATTTATCTGAAAACTAAGCAAACAAACACAAAAAGCCCCTTTTTATCTGTGTCTTTCTTGCAGGCTACCTCAATTTTGCAAGGAAGATGGCCCAGCTCCGGGAAAACATCGACGGCATCGTGGCAGCTTTCTACACGTGCACCAGAAGCGACGGTGACTGCAGCCCCCTGAGCAGGGAGGAGCTGAGGCAGCTCATCGAGCAGGAGATCGCGGATGCAATGGAGGTGAGAGGATGCGGCACCGCAGCCGGCGCCTGCCGCGGGTGTGCCTTCTGGAGCAGGGCTGGGATCGGGGTGGGCACAGCCATGCACTCCCGTGCGGGTGCACAGGACACCTGGCTCCCTGCGAAGGGCACAGATGCCTTCAAAGCCCTAGAGAGGTGGCACAAATGGCTCATGGGCTTTACCGACACCGTTTATCTCTATACAGGACCCCCAGGACCCCAAAACTGTCAAGAAGGTGCTGTGCTTGCTGGATGACGACAGCTACTGCAGGGTTGACTTCAGCGAGCTGCTCAGCCTCGTCTTTCGCGTGGCCAAGGCTTGTTACAAGCCTCTCCGGCAGCGCCAGGCACCAGAAGATGGTCAAGAGCCAACAGGGCAAGAGAAGGCAGCTGGGGAGCCGCGGCTGGAGCCACGTACAGCAGGGAGGGTCTCCCGCAACCAGGAGGTCCCCGAGCAGGGTGTGAACAATGAGGTCCAGGATGCTGAGACGCAGGATCCAGTCAACCATCAAACCCAGGAGGGTGACACACAGGAGCAGGACCAGGACACCCAGGAGGATGAGACACCAAAGGAAGACCCAGACACCCATCAAACCCAGGAGGATGAGACACCAGAGCAGGACGAGGAAACCCATCAAACCCAGGAGGGTGACACACAGGATGAGGACCCAGACACCCGTCAAAGCCAGGAGGTTGAGACACCAGAACAGGATGAGGACACCCACCAGGATGACAGGATTGAAGCACCAGAAGGGGATCCAAAGAGAGGTGAGATCCTGGACACAGAGCGGGACAGAAATACCCATACGGCTGAAGAGACTGAAACACCAAAAGGGGACCCAAAAAGCCACCAGATCCAAGAAACTGAGGCACCAGGACAGGGTTCAAGCCACCATCAGAGTCCAGAGATGGAGTCCACAGAGCAGGACCTGAATTGTTCCTCTGAGACACAAGGGAGAGACCCAAACAACAAGACTCAGGTCTGTGAGGACCCCAACCCCAGCAAGACCCAAAAGCCGCTGCCCCCACAGCAGGGTGCAAGCCCCCGTTGGGATCCCACACCTCAGGGAACACGTCAAGAACCAGCTTTCCATCAGCCCCCTGAATCCAAGGTGCTGGAGCCAGAGCACGGCGGGGCAGAGGCTCCGTCTCGTCCAGCACATTGGCAACACCACGCTCACGGCCAAAGCCAACCCACTATGGAGCAGCAGCTCCTGCAGACTCTGTATGAGTGGCCACCGCAGAAGTAAAGGCTGAAACAAGCCCCTGTCTAAGTCACGCTGTTGCCCCACTGCAAGAAGCCTTTCCAATCCCACTTTGGTATTTTTGCATTTCTATTTGTCGTGTCTTGTCTCATTCCTTGTTGATCCTGGGCTTTGTACGGAGCTCTGCATGGCTAGAGACCTTCCCTTGTACTCTTGTCTGAGCAAAGCAATAAAACTGAATGCAAAGGACACAGCGTCCCGGTGTGTTGCTGCAAGTGTGTCTTTGGGATGGTTCTGAGCAAAGCCGGGTTGACAAGACGGGGTGCAGAGGACCTGAGCGTCCATCCCTCGCAACGACATACCCACCACGTTGCTCCAGGGTGCAGGTGGAGGAATGGCTGCAGAGAGGCAGGCTCAGCCGCCTTCGCAATTTAGCCAAGGTGAATCGATTGCTCCCCGCGGGCAGGGATGTGACATCCCTGTGAGAGATGTCTTCGGGGAGGGTAGAAGTCTGGATGAACACAACAGCACAGCTGACCTGAACAGATCCCTCACAGCATCCATCTGCTCCGGGCATTTTTCATGTCTGCTGTGAAAAGAATAAACAGCTGCTTAAACATGGAATGGGAGGGATTTTTCCTATTGAACCTCACTTATTAATAATCTCAGAAGCGAGGGGAATGTGGAGCATGTTATGAAGATCAAAAATCCCTATTAGCTCTGGAAGTCTCCAAAGGAAAGTGTGGAGATATATTAAACACAGAAAAAAATTTATTATTCAGGCACATCCAGTCCCAGCAACAACCGAGAAGCCCAAGATAAATTGCTGACACTCAAACCACGCACAAATGGAGCCAGTCTGAGATTCAGTTCAGGTGGTTTGGGGTACCAGGTCCTCGGGCACTTGGCCAGCCATGGGCGTAGGAATGTGGATAACTCCGAGGGCATGAGCAGTGTGGTGAAGTCAGCGGGGTTTATTAGGGGGTTCAGACGTGCTGGACCACCAGGCAGACCCAGAACTTGGCATCCCGCCGGGAGGGTGATGCTCAGCCTGTTTTTCACCATGCAATCTTTCACTTGAGACCTATCAGCTAAATCAGCCCAGGATAAATGCACCCGCACCTCCTGCTCTGTGGCCGGTGACAAGCAGCACGCAGAGACCTCACTGGCAAATCCAACGTCATTCCTCTGGGACACCCCAGAATTTCACAATTTGCTAAGCGCTGAATCAGAAAAACCAGCGTTTCAAAACTATCCCCAGAACGCACATCACAAAAATGGTTTGGTCTAAAAGTGCCAGTGTCATAATTAAATGTATGAGACACAAAATACACCGGTCTGCTCTACTGCTGATAAAATATATTATCAAAAAATAAGTTCTGACCTACAACATGACAGCTGGGGACATGAAATGGGCGAGTCAAGGCTTACATTTCATCACCTATCGAGAAAACCCCATTCTGTCTGAGACATTCCTTGAAATATTTAATTTTACAGAGAACTAGATTTTTCTTGTAAAATAGGTCTCAGTTACAGGTTCATCCAATAGCTCTTATTAGCTCTGGCTTAGGGTCTAAAACCACCAGACCCAACCGTCCACCTGCAGTCTGTCTGTCCATCAGCCGCCACCTTTTGCATCATCAATAAAAAACTGACCTCCCAGTTCAGGCAGGCACCAGATCCTCTTAGGGACGGGTTAATTATATGCTCTATTCTGAATAAGACTATTTTGGCCACCACGAGTGTCATATGTGAAGTTAAGAGGGTTTTTTTCGTTCTTTTTAAGGAGAACGTTATAGCACAGTGAAAATCATCCCGCTGACACAAATGAAAAAAGAATCCTGCAAGCCTGGGAGGTGTTGGAAGAGAAAATGTCTTTTATACACCCCACGAGGAGCCTGGATCCTCTGAGATTAAATGGAATAGAGGCTCAGTCACCCTATGGAAATGACAACAGGGTTGGGTGCAGAATTGGGTAAGAAGGAGGAGGATGGAGCCCACCCCCTTGGGTTTAAAAACCTTCCCAAGCCCCCTGTTAAAAAAAGGCTTTGGGGAAAGCCAAGCCCTGGGAGAAAGGAGGGGGTTCAGCGCTGCCAAGAAGGTGATTTGAAATTCATTGGGAACGGCAGCAAAGCACGGGAAAGCCGGTGAGCATGGCTGAAAATACGACATCCCTTCTCCTGCATCAATACCCGAACTCCAGCGGGTGGCTCATGCGGCACCCAAACCATCCCACGCTGCCCCAGCCCCTGCGGGGGGGATTACAGACTGTTACAGGACACCAAGTATACAAGCTCCAGCCGCACTGTAATACTCTAATTTTAATAATAACTCCAATCTACCATAAAATTACAGTTTCCCAAGGGTATTATTATCCCGCAGGTGGGGTATAATTTGCACAAGTATAATTTAATCCTGAAAAAAAAAGCTCAAAAATGAAGCACGGTTAGTAACGATCCCTCGTACGCACTTGTATGAGTATCCCCAAGGTGTTACCAGCACTAATTAATTAGGCTCCTACACCCAGTATGATCTTACCCTACAGATGGGCCAGATGAGCCACTCGACCAAGGCTGCATGACAAGTTCATGCTCTGGAGGTTCTCTGCAATGTCTCCATCATGCTTGCCAAGGCAGCATCCTACCTCCAAAACCAAAAGCAGGAGCCCAGGTGGCACGGCTGGTATCTTCCTTATTTGCTCTGTGTACGGGGAGAGTTCAGGGTGAATAAAAGAATCGGTTGGTGTCTAATTAATTTACTGTTAAATGATTTTTAAAAAAAAAGATTGTAGAGGTAATTACAGCAAAAGCTGCCTAGGGCAACCAGATGAAGATTCAACATGAATCGGCCTCTCAGCAGAGAGGATTCTGCTTTTATTTTTAATTAAAGATCAAGCAAAGCTGAAATGAGAGTCATTCACGGATGACAGTTAATATGAAGAGTGTTTCATCATGAATTTTCTCAATGAAAATCATTGTACCATTTTAAATATGTTCTGTTTATAGTTGGCTTTTTCAAAAAAAAAAAAAAACCTTAATATTACAACAATAAGGCTCTGTATTAAGAATTTACCAAAAATAAACCACGTTTTGCAGCACATTCTACAAGGACACCACACATGCCAAGATCTGGAGGATTTGAAGACCCCACTGCTGCATTTCACCATTTTCACAGCACTTGGGTCATCTTTACTTCTGCGAGAGAAATCCAGACCGAAACCCCATTGTCATCAAGCCCAAGGTGCTGAAGGAACTGCCCAAAAAGCCAAAAAAAATAATATGTGATATTGTGGTACCGAGCTCATGGTCCGTACAGATCTCCACTGTCTCTGATCTGCTCTGGTTGAGCTCTGCTACCGTCAGCACTTCTGCCTCCATCCCCAAAATTTCATCCTGGTGCTATTTTTATGTATGCGTGTGTGTATTATGCATCTATAAATTCATACCTATACAAAGGCGCTTTTATACAAAAATACGCCCTCCCATTAATACATGTAGACGCTTTATAGCTATTCTAATTTTTTTTTTTTAAATCTGAAATACAATCAGCCTGTAAAATAACTTTACAATCCGGATTAGGTGGAACCAGCCAGTGCCTGAATTGCCACATGGCAACTGCTATTTCTGGGTTAAAATGATAGGTAAGGGCATGATAAGTTAAATAACCCGTTTGAGGACATGAAGGTGCAGCTGGGCTTGGCCAAAAGATGAATCAGGACAACGTCCACAAAGGGTGTCTCCTTTCTGTAGTTCCGTCAAGGACCCTATAAAAGCACCCGGGTCCTCCGAGCACTCCGCACGGCTTCACAAGAATACCACTTGATCCCGTTGGTGATTTGGGTAAGTCGTTCCTTCCGAAACGCGAATTTTGCTGGGCAAGAACGGGTTATTTCTATAAGATTCATGTTGGGTGGCAGGGTCATTTTTGCCGCGGTATTTTCCAAGAGTCTTTTTGCGTTTATATCATGTGAAAGGTTGTTTTGTGCGATTGGGACACTTGCATGCTGTCATTGTGTGTCCACGTGTAGAAGAAGGTTTTCTCAAAGGGAAAGCAAGAGAGGGAGCCAGGTTTTGTGCCGTAATTTGGTCTGGAGTCAGCTCCCAGCCAGAATGAACAGATTGCAGAAATTTGCTGGTTTTAAGAGAAATACCAAAATCCAGGATTTCGTGTGCAGAGGTGGGCACGTGTCCATGCGTATGCACACGTTATAGAGGCGGCAAGGTAGACACGGCACAGCTTCACCAGCTGCAAGCTGAGATCTCAGCACTGATGTCCCTGATAACAGGTTTGGGGATCCTGCGAGGAGGGAGGAAGGAGGTGGTTTTTGAGGGTTCCAGACACAAAGCTCAAACAAGAGCGCTGCTTTCTGCCAAGCGTATCTCAGTAAAATTAAATAAATAGCTCTGACCTTGATGATCTGACAATTCCCCTCTGGCTAAGTCAATTTGCCAATGAACTGATGCTGTGATGAAAGCTTTATCAATTGTTTTGTATTACTACTGGTCACAGGAGCATCGGCCATAGTGTTTGTTGTTACAGCTCCCTGTAAGCACTCTACCTCTCTCTGATCCACCTAGATCTTGTCTTGGGCCATGCCAGCATCGCATTAGACATCCTCTAACCTCCTCCAGAGAAGCCAGCATCTCTCAGTGCTAGGCAGAGATAGCACCGTGGGTCTTGGAAAGAGATAACCGCCTGGTATAGCCCCATAGGGACGGGTTCCTAGGGCATCTCTTGAGTCACCGTCCTCAGTCCCCTCCTTGTGATGCATAAACACAGGCATCCTGCCATCCCCTTCCGAACGTCATTCCAATACGTCAGTAGACAATTTGGAGGACACTCCCCATCCCACTAAAACCCCTGAGCATTTGAATTTCTTTCCAGCACTCTGCTGAAACAGAGCTCGCCGTGGCACAGGAGCAGATACACAGTCCCACTAATGCACGTGGCTTCACCCCAGCAATTCTCCCCCATCTTTTGACGCTCAGAGGCAAGGGAATCTCCCATCCTTACGTCTGCTCCTTTCCTTGCAGGCTTGCTTGAATCTGCAGGAAAATGTCTCGCTTCTTAGACAGCATTTCCACCATCATCAGCATCTTTCACCAGCATGCCAAGGAAGATGGAGACTCCTCCAACCTCAGCCGAAGGAAGATGAAAGAGTTCATCCAGAGGGAGTTTGCAGATGCCATAGCGGTGAGCACTGCGGCAAGGTGGGGGCTTGAGGCCAAGACTGGCGTGCAGGGACCGCAAAATCTCCTTCTGGAGAGGGGGTGACTCTTATGACCAGGTGGCAATAGGATGGGGCTCACCAAAGGGGAGCAACAGACGCGTTCCTTTGCACTGACTGCTTCAAAAAAGTTTTGTCATAAGCAAATGGGCAAAAGGTGGAGAATGTACCATGGGGAGGTATGGTTTTTCTTTCAAATGTAGAAAGGAAATGCATCCAGTGGAGAAATATGGCATCTCCCAAAAAGAAGAGAGATGGTTATCTGCAACCAGGAAGCAGGAAAATGGAAAACAAAGACATGGTGTTGTTGCTGAGCTATAAAAGTGAAGGTGTGAGAGATGGAAGGAGAAAATATCACAGCTGTCCCTGTCTTTGCACTTCTCTGGCAAGGAGCAGGAAGGCTAAAATCCCTTTTTTTTTGTTTCCCTGTGTGTGTTTTCCTTACAGAACCCACATGACCCTGAGACAATTGAGAAGATTCTGCAGTTTCTGGAGTGGGATGGTGATGGGAAAATAGATTTTAGTGAGTTCCTGCTTTTGGCGTTCAGAGTGGCTAAGGCCTGCTACTGGTACCTGCCAAAGGGACTGTCCCTTCTGCAGAGAACAAAGCTGACAAGTGGCAAGTCACTCCGAGAGCCTGAAGTTAAGAGCAGAGGGAGCCGTCGGCAGCTACAGGAGGAAGAACAACCAACCTGTGAGAGTAATCATCCCAGCGGTGAACCTGAGCTGCAACGAGACACCAGGGTCAACGAGCGTGAAACACCAGAGGAAACGGGGAGTCATCACCAGCGACGCAACACACAAAGCAGAAACGACACAAAACGAAGCAGCGAGCCGGGGGAGCCAATCCCTCAGACATACGAAGAACGAAGCCGCGAGCCATGCGACCAACGTAACAGCCAGAGAAGACGTCACCCACCGGAGCCAGACAGACGAGGAGATGTAAAACTGAGAGCACATCAGCCCCAACGGCAGGCAGTTGAGAGGCAAAACGATGAAGGGCCTCAGCCAGAACAAGTGGCAGACGTGAGGAGTCACAGCCAGACATGTGAACCTCAACCACGGCCAAACTGGTGGAGTAGCCGTCAACCACATGAGCCATCACTAATAGCATGCGATCAAAAAAACCATAAGCCACAAGAAGCAGATAGAGGAAGTTACGATCAGCCACGTAAACCTGAATTAATCAGAGAAGAGAGAAGCCGCTACCACCTACGTGAGCTGGAACAAAAAGCACCTGAAGACATCAACCACAAGCCACGGGGGACTGAATGCATGAACACAAAATACCTGCACCAATCATACATTCAGGAACCGCCAGAACTTGACCTCACCTACTGTGAAACCTCTGAGCCAGAAAAAGGTATTCCTGAAGAAAGGATCCATGATGAACGTGATCTTGAACATCCAGAAAGGGAGAGAGAAATCCATCAAGCTCAAGATTGTGAAGAACGAGGAGATGTAAAAAGAAAAGAGCCCCAGCAGGTGAGGAGGATCAATCGTGAACGAGAGCTGG